AATGCAATAGTTATCAGCTTCTTCTAATTCAGGAGAATACTGCAAACTAAAACTGCATAATAATTCACAATCTTTAGTTAGGGGCATAACATGGCATAAAATAATATTATAATCTAACACCTTGATGGTCCTGATGGTTTCCAACGCTACTGGCATGACAAGCAGATCCCACCTGAGGTGGTTTCTATAACGATGGAGCTCATCGCTGAGCTCATGTTTGGATCTTTGATTTCTGTCTTTGGGGGTTTACAGGTTTTTTTTGGAGGTGTGGTCCTAAACTTTTGATCAGCTGTAAAACAGCCTGTTTCAGTTTAATTGATATTAGTGGTGATTTAAATGCTTCATGACGGTCGCATCAAAGCGTCTCAATTCTCCCTGCTGTCCTCCGGGGTGTTGGAAATGATTAAGCCTATTTATTTAGTTATTCATCAATTGATTGGTATGATTTGAAGCTTAAAAAGGTTCATTCTAAGCTAACATTTAGTTTAGTTTAGTTTTGGGTTTTTTTCCACCAAGTCTCTGGCGTCTGACATCACTTATGCATTTCTATTCTGTCAGCTACCTTTCCATCCTCAGTGGCATCAAAAACTCGAAGTTTTAGTCCATAACGAACACCATGTTTAAACTTAAGGGCATCGATAAGTGCATGTGGCACCAGGAAATCCTAGGCCAAAGGTTGATGATTGATGTTATGATCATATCATCAGATCTGTGGTCAGATGTTCTGGTCACTCGGGTGAAGAGAGAGGCTGAGGTGATCGCCACCTGGTGATGAATTGGATCAGGTGGTCAGGGAGGACGCTGGACAGACTTGGAGCACCTGCATGTATAGTGAGAATCAGCTGGGAACACCTAGCACAGGGCCCGGTCCGCAAAATCTTCCACCTCTGGCAGATCTTCAGCAGCATTCCAAGGAATAGTGGAGCACTCAGGACTCTTGCTGCAGCATTTTGGATTAACTGAAGGCTTTTCAGGGAAATTTTAGAGGCCATGCTGCTAGTGAGTCGGTTATGAGCTAAGCTAAGCTAGCAAAACCTAAAGACACAGTGAGCGAATACAAATTAGCGAGTGAGTACACAGAGAGTGCTTCGGATGAAGCACGTGAAGATTCTACTATGAAATAAGAAGTTTTTTTTATTAAATTGCTCCGCAGATAAACTACACAACAAACCCCACTGTGTTGGAACCGGAAGTGATGCTCTTCCACAGAGAGAGCCAACGCCAGGTAAAAGCTCCTGACAGTCTGAACTCTTAAGATAGCATGAACAGCAGTAAAAGTAAAACCTTGAATAAGCATTGAAGAGCTATATATTAGTTAAATGTAGTTATTGCTAAAGCATATTCATAGAAATGATCAGTAGGCCTGCTGGGTGTTTATGCAAAAGAAGCTCTGAGGAGGAAGCAGCGTTGTTTTTTACAGCCATGAAATCATCCTGGTGTTTGATTCCTGAACATTTCATCTCTTTCTCCTGGATGAAGGTAAACCGGTTCCTCTGGAGAAACTGTTTTTAAGATTGTTTTTGAAAATTACAATTTGACTGTCATTTTGCAGAAGATAAGACATTTCTACACTCAGTGAAATAAGGGTCAAAGGTCATTGAACCACAGAGGTTGTTCTCTAAAGTGAGGTGTGCTGGCTGCAACAATTTGTGCATTTCACCTATAAAGATGTCCTACATCTGACCTTAGATCAGCTGTGACAGCCAGCTGTGTCTGAGCCTCTGACTCTGTGATGTCCGTCAGCACTTATAAGCTCCGCCCACCTCCTCTTTCATGATATGAAGTATGTGCATTCACAACCTGAGCAGACTGTTGTTTTTTTTGTTGTTTAGTTTTATGGGTTGTTTAATTTACCTTTCATACCTTTGCATTCTTAATTTTGCCCTGAGACAAAGAGGCAAGAAATGTTGAAATAAAAAATTATCAAACAAACAAACAAAAGAAAAAAAGGTGAACCGCAATAATGCTAAGAATTTGTAATGGTATTGAAATGTTGTGAGGGGACTTGTGCAGCTGCTGCAGTTGGCAGCTGATCCTGAGCATGTGCTGCCATGATGGGCCAGGCGTTAAAGCCTCTGAGTGTCTGTGCTTTGTTTTAGCCGAGGATGCTTTCAGTTCTGTGAGGAAGGAGCACAGAACCCACAACTGACTGTCTGCCACCTTATCTCCCTCTCCTGATTAGACGCTTCAACCTCAGTCCAAAAAGCAGAGCATTTTCAGTGTTTTGCAGGTCTTGTTGCTCTCTAAGAGAAACGATGTAGTAGTTAGAAATAACATTATATGATATAGACTTCAGACTTTACAGAAAAATGAACGAGCCCTATTTATGGCAGTAATGAAGTACACAGAAAAATAAAATAGATAAAGCCAGACACATTTGTAGTTTTCATTCTTTTTAATCTAACTCAATATTGTGTTAACTTTTGAATAAAGCAAACATTTACATATGTCACGAATTTTGGACATTTTCAGCCCGTACAGCACAGGATTAAAGAGCGGCTGACACATAAGCCAGTACAGTGATATCAAAATACGCAGTACATTTGGTAGATTGTTCATATTAAATCTGCTCTGTAGTATTTCAAAGCAGCCGCTGCAAGAGAAGTTGAGCAGAGAAGCGAGGTGAGGCGTGCAGGTGCTGACGGCTTTCTGTCGCGTCTGTTTGGATCCAGAAAAACAGACTTTCAGGATCCTCATGTAGGTGAAAAAGATCAACGTGACAGGAACAAAAACGGTGAATGCTGTGCTGATCAGTCCATAGATGTTATTGAGTGTGGTGTCAGAACAGGCCAGTTTAACAATGGCATAGTTATCACAGTACACTTTGTTGATGATGTTCCCACACAGCTGCAGAGGTGAGCTCAGAGAAACTGTCACAGCAACCAGCAACAAAGCATAGATCCACGACACAGCGATGAGCACAGAAACCGTGCTGGATGTCATTCGTGTGTTATACTGCAGAGGACAGCAGATGGCAAGATATCTGTCATAAGACATGACGGCTAAGGTCAAAAATTCCACACCGACATATGAGTACAAAGAGAAGATCTGCAGGAAGCAGAGAGGAGCAGAAACAGTGTGAACATCAGAGAGGATCTGAAGCAGGAGGAATGGAAACAGCCCTGTACTACCATACAGCTCATTCACAAACAGGCTGCACAGAAACATGTACATAGGTTCATGTAAGCTTCTGTTCACACAGATAACCACAATCAGCAGCAGGTTCGCACAAATGATTAAAGAATATAAAGACAAGAGAAGCAAGAAAAACAAGTATTTTGTAGGCCCGGCATCAAAGTAGGCACCAAGGATGAAGTATGAGCCCTCTGTGAAGTTTATCATGATGCTCTAATTGTTCATCAAACAGTCTTAACACTAATTTTGTTACATATATGAATGTTAATTAACACAATTCACAAGCATCAAGACAACACATTAAATGCAGATGAATCATATTCAGTCACTGACATCAAAAACATTATATTCAACATATAAAATCCTTCCTGTGTGAAACTCAGGCTAACAGCATGTAAATCATACACACTCATACACACACCCTCAGACTGAAGCCCTGCTTCTTTTAAACCATTCAGCTCAGCAGACGTCACAGCAGCAGACTGATCTCATTATGAGAACGCCTGATTGGCTGCCTGAGTCAGAGGAAACCTGAAAGGACCTACAGGACAAAGATGTGTCGTGACAGGTTTCCTATATGGCAGTGGGCCTTTAAAAGAACTATAAACTTCAATCAAAATTTGGTTTACTTACTGTTTATAATAAGTTCATGTGTACTTGTGTGTTTTCAGAGTTCTGCAGCAAACACTGCTCCACTTTAGATGACAGCAGATTAACAACTTGTAACGGCGGTCTGGCGAGGAAGGAGCAGCTAGCAGGTCTAGCAGGCATGTGGTGTGGAGGTCAGCCGGACAACTCAGAGCCGAGTCAGTTAAACAGACCTTTACTTGTCGCTAGCAGAGTGAGAACATACAAGCCAGGTCTCCACGGCTCTAGTCTGTCCATTTTTTCTGTGAAAATGACGTCACTTCCGGTTTCGGCCAGGTAATAGCGGACATACGATAGTTCACGCTGACGTCTATTCCAACCTAGGAAGTGTTGCGAACAGCTGATCGGATCGGCACTGGTTGGGTAGGAATACACCGAATGCACTGATTTCCACAATCATACACACCATTCCCCTCCGTTTATGGACAACAGCGCTTGGACATCTCTCATGGACATTCAGGTAAAACTCGCGGACTTCAGTGTGGATCAGTGTTTTTGATGTTAACATGTGTCATTTATGGGGAACTCTTTTTGAGAATCTGTATTGCTTGGTATAACCAGAAGAATCTGCTTAGTTGTCTTTGTGCACCCCCACTGGCTTTTTCGGTTAATTGAATAGCTGCAGCAGGAGTGATTATTTAAGTTTTCCTTTTCTTGTTATTTTTCTTTGGTTTCAGTTAAATACATGGTACCTGCGAAAGCGTTGTGTGCATTTATTAATTACTGCCCATCAGCTCCAGTAGCATTCCTAAATCTTCTGATTAATAATAACCTAATATTTCACTCAATACCTAGCCTGTATTAATTCATTAGCGCTTCATCAGCGTTACATAACCACAATCAGAGACTTGTTGGCAGCAATGATCATGATGTATAATATAGGAGAGTTTTAAACTTCCTACATCCATGTAACCTCCAAGAATGAAACCAGGGTTTTAATAGTTTTGCAATTTTCATTAGTTTTTATTTTTATTTAGTTTTGACTTCAGATTTTCAATTTTATATCAGTTTTAATTAGTTTTTACCGATTGTTTGCTAGTTTAGTTTTTATATTTTTGAAAATCCTTAGTTTCAGTTTAGTTTTGATTCGTTTCAGTTATAGTTTTAGTTGTTTGCAATAATTAAGTGTAACAAAGTCCCAGTTTCATCATATCAGTCATGCTCTTCTGCTTATCCTTGGGTATGTTGCTATTCCAGCTACCATACCCTGCACCCTGCACAGGTCGCCTGTCTGTCGCAGGGCTAACACGCAGAGACAGACAACTCACATTCCCACCTATGGGTTCTTTAAATAAAATAATAAATAAATAAATAAAGGCAGATGAACAACCATTGATACCAGGCAACTATAAAATGTATATCTTGGCCCCAATGAGACTATTAACTCTCGCAGCACCGGGTGTTCGTAATTTTGGTTCAAGTGAATTGATAAACTTTTTGAAGGCAATTGACTCACACAGTTATGTAGATGTCCCCGTCCTGTTGTCTCGGGATGCATCACGCTGCCTTGCCTGGGGTTAGCTTCTGTTTCTGGGGATGAGGGTTGAGTGTGCTCCCTTACCTTCTCAAGGTAAGCTAGGTTAGCCTTCTTGTGTGAGCTTTTCAAGTGCACTTTAAGGTTTGTGGGATTTTTTCCCTTTAGAAATGTCCCTCATAATTTGTCTCTTTCCACTACAAGACACTTGCTTTATCCAAAACACAGTCATATTCAAAGTAATCCCAAATTGGACTCTGGCGCTTTCTCCCGACTTTTCCTGACATGATTCTGCGCGTGGACGCAGCAACACAGACGACTCGACTAACGTGCTGCCACCTGCTGGCATAATGAGACACAGCAAGAAAAAATCTGGAAACTAAACTTCATTTTCACCCTCGACTATTGTAGGACACGCACACATCAATGAAACTAAACACATTTTTGCTATAAATTCAGTTAATTTTAGTTTTGTGAACACTCATTACAGTTTTAGTTAGTTTTCCTTTTTTTGTTTTTATTTTTATTTCCGTTAATGAAAATGTCTTTTCACTTCTAGTTTTCGTTAACGATAATAACCTTGAATGAAACAAGACAGAGGAAGTTACATTTAGCATAGTTTTTCTTTAAGTCACAAAATAAGTATAAAAAGATGACACCGTGTGATTCAAATAATTACCCCAAAATCTTCAGCAACATTTGCAAACAAAAGTTTTGTTCTTCTCTGAACATTTTATAGTTAAAAACCTGCATTAAAGACACCACCTCACCTGTGAACACTCCTGCAGGTGTTTCCACCCATAAAAAGCTGCACCAACCACTGGGGTGCAGCTTTTTATGGGTGGATCTTCCACAAACTGACTCAATCCACACAAAAAAAACCCCGTTAGCTAAGAAGTGATTGGTCCAGTTCATGCCCAGAGGAAACCAGTGGCCCTTCTCTGAGTAAAACGATGATTGACACCGAGAGCATCTCTACATGTAGGACTGGAATAATCACTGTGACATAATATAAATGATATAAAATAAAGCATGCTAGGTTATTTTTTCAAGAGAATTTCAATACAGATCAACTTTAATGAAAGCCTTGTGCATCCACGGGTGCATTTCCCAGGAGCTTTGTTGTCAGGGGCGAACTGCCCCTTGTAGGATCTCCAGAGAACTTTGGTCCTGGTGAGGGGCCGCACTGTGATCTCACAGGGCCTAAAAACAATAACTCAGCGTAGCCTCCTGTAAGTACTAACACTTCCTGTAAGTACTAACAGAAGGGGCGGAGGAAGTTGAGTGCTTTCTGGATTGCTTCGTAGTCATGGTGGGAGCTCTGTGGTCTGATCTTTGATTGATGAATCTGGCTTTGTCGCCTCTCTGGTGTGAAAGGAGCCTGAGCTGGTGCTTTAGGAAGGACAGGTTACATATAGATTGTCTCACCTTGGTTTCTGGTGCTCCAGGAACCGGTTTCCTGGAAGCAGCCTGGACTTTATGCCACTTGGAAATGGTGGGTATTCTTGTATCCCAAGTTTGCTGCCTGCACATTGGGTTTTTTCTGTGTGGACAAGAGGGTTACTTTCCTGCACCATCTGTTAAACCTCTCCCTGAGTCATGCCACCATGCCCACCTCTCTTAACCCTTTAAGACCTACCATAGATCCAAGTCCACCAGAGCTTCTCTTCATATTTTTACATGCTGTAGTGCCATTTTTGGGAGCGTTTCAAGTTGCTACACGTCAATACAACAAATTTTAATAATATGTATGCATTAAGTGTACAATAACTACATAAATTGCATATTTATTACACATATTTCTAGTTAACAATTAAACTGTACATGCAAAGAAGTTGCACAAAATAGTTTCCAACCACAGGATATTTATTTTGAGTGTCTTCATAATTCTATTTTTATATACACCAATTTTTATATACTGCAGGAAAAACCAAAATCAATATTACAATGCAACTTTGCAAAAACAACCCAGCATGTGCATCAAAATGAACAATTTCCAACAGTGTAATTTGAGTTCTAAGCCTCTCAGAAACTATACAGAAAGGCATAAACTCAAACATGAATTTTAGAAACACCAGTATATCTATAGAAAAAACTACACTTTCTGCAAAAATGACATCACTTCTGGTTTTGGGCAGGTAATGGCGGACATCAGATCTATTCCAACGTAGGAAGTGTTATGAACAGCTGATCAGATAGGCAAAGCATGTTTCTGGATTATTATGTTTTTGTTGATGCAAATGCTTTTTATGCAATTTTTGCAAAGCTAAATGTGGAAGGAAACCGTGACCTTGGACAAGCTGAATACGTAAGCTGTAATTACAATACCTCCGGTTTCATATGCAAAAAATAACAATAATAATTGCGTTAGCTTATGTGGTTGGAATTCTACCGGACTTTAAAAATACAGTGGTCCCTTTTTTATCCCGGGAGTTACGTTTTAAGAATAACCCGCGATAGGTGAAATCCGCAAAGTAGCCAACTTTATTTTTTCAATAATTATAGATGTTTTAAGGCTGTAAAACCCCTCACTACACATTTTCACACTTTTCTCTCTTGTTTAAACTGTCAAAGTTCAAACCTTCGTGGAAAAATAAGTCCAGTATTATAGAATGAAACCAAAGATCAAACCCTGTTTTCATGGGAATAGAGCAGCTGCCTGAGAATCCAACATTAATGGATCAATACTGAATCAATGGTATGGAAGTAAAGGAACGAGCTGAGTAATGTTTGACTTATCTGACTGTTTTGTTTTGCTTAATGCGCCTTATAATCCAAAAAATATGGTAACTTCTACCTTCCTGTCCAGAAGTCCAGCTTTTTGTGTGATGTAGCATCTTCCTCTGCCTTTTGGCTGCTACTGCAGGAGCCTTTGAGCAGAACATTGTGTTTGTTAGAGAAAACTTATAAACATACAGTACAGCACTTCAGAGTCACACTGCTAGCGATTTATGTATGTAGGAGATTTATGTAAATTTGACAAGCTGAATGCATTCTGTACTGTACAGGAGACACGGCACGGAGGAGATTCATTGACAATGGTCTACAGCCAATCAGGACGCAGAACACAATGCGCTGTATGGGGGGGGGGGTGCAAAGTTGCACAAAAAAAATCAGTGAAACAGTGAGGCCGCGAAGGGTATAACGGTGAAAGGGCGTTATAGCGAGGGACCTCTGTAATTACACAAAACAG